TAGACCAAAAATAAAACAATTTAAAATTGTATCAGGAGGAAAACCAACAACTTGATTACCTAATTTCTCAAACTTAGTTTGGTATTCCACCACAACACCATCTTGTTTTAATGTGAATAACTCAGCTTAATGATTCTTATAAGAAGACGAACCAAAACGTAATTGCAACACATTTGTGAATGAACTCCAATCTGTCAATAATAAATTTTGATACATCCATTTAAACCAACCCAAAGCATCATCTTTCATATAAAACAAAATTAATGATAATCTATTTTCTGGTGGAAGATTAAAAAAATTAAAAAATTGATCAGCTTGGAATAACCATTCTAGCGGATTTAACCATCAAACATAGAAAACTCAAGTTTAGGGGTACGAAAGGGTGGTAATAGGGGAATATTGGGCATTTGTGAGTATGAGTGTTGCTGGAAAAGGGGAATATTATAGGGTGAAGTGTGTTGAAAAATTGTTTGGGAGGGTATATAGTGTAAGAAAGGAGGTGGTGGCTGAACAGTTTGGGAAGGTATGTAGGGTGAGAAAGGAGGTGGCGGTTGAGCAGCTATGTTTCTCATCATGGCTGTTACCATGGGCTGTGAGGGTGTGTTGGAAACAACTGTGGTTTGTCTAAGGAATGTATTGGTAGGTGAAGTAACATGCATAATAGGGATGGAAGTCATGGGTGTAGATGAAAGGTGTTTAGTAATACCTGAAGAACTTACTGCTGAAAGAACAATGGCAGGTTGTTGCTGCTCCTTAAGCAGTTTTTGGAGGATAGACATGATGGATTCATACCTAGAATCAGAGATCTGTTTTTCATCGTCCATTTTTGTATGGAGCTTACCAATATGTTATTCCAAATCTGCATTAACCTTGTCATACCATTCATCCATTTGTTCTTGAATTTGATTCATAGCTCTGTAAAGGTGAAGGTGAGCAATGTGGACAACTTCTTCAACTATTTCTTTGGAAGAAGGGTTGATGGGTTTGGGAGGAGCCATGAGAACAAGATCAAAGCACCAATGATAAACTAAGCTAGGTTAAGACGAGATCTAAGTTGTATAAAAAGAAATAGCATAAGGTACAATTTCAAATCTTTCATTAAGTCTCAAACTTCCAAGAACTTACTTATAAATAGCTAGGGTTAATTAAGCTAAAAGGGCCATGGGCCAAAATAACAAGACCACATCCAAAAATAAAATAAAGAATTGAAACCCCTTTTAATAGAGAAAAGCATTAAACCAAATTTGTTTCTTCTTCTCTCTAGTGGGTCTGATCATTTTCTTATCAGTTGTATGAAACCATCATCTTGTTAATATTTGCTAGTATGCTATGTATCACCAACAACTCTGAAAAAAGACGTGTTCGTGTTGATATCAGACACTTGCACTGATATTTGTAATTATATTTAATTTATTTATTTTTTAAAATTATTACTAATATCGTCATATAAGTGTAGAATCAAATTCGGATTTTTCGTGCTTTATAGTAGGTTTACAAATAACCTTTTGACAGAAAATAGGCAATATTTGATCATGAATTTTTTAGAGTAGTAGAGCATTTTTAAGCAAAACTTTGTTTGACCGATCTTCTTCTCACAACTAGTGAGTACAGATCTCTGCATTACTACTATATTTCAGCATGTAGAACAGTTATAAATTTATAACATACAATAGACCCATATACACCCAAAATAATAATAATAACAAAACTTCACTAAAATAACATACTCCTTTCGTTTATAAGATCATTTTTTAAAAAGATTTCTTTATTTTTTAGGATCTATTTGGTTGGAGGTAAATGAAGGGAAAAGATGGGAAGGGAAGAAAATATTTAATATTTTATGTGTTTGATTCAAATTTTAAGAAGAGGATGAGAGGTAGATGGAGGGGACCAAAATCCTCCAAATTGGGAGGGAATGAGAAGTATTTTATTTTAATATTAATTATGGTTACATATTTATCTTTATTTATTTATTTAAATATACATTTAACTTATTAAAATATTAAAATTTTTATGTTAAACATGTTTTATTTTTCTTTTATATTTTATATTTTTTTATATTATAGATGTTTAATTTTTTTATATATTTTATTGTTACTTTTTAATTATCGTAATATTTTTTATTTATGATAATTTTTATTAAATTTTATTGTATTCGATAATATTTTTAAAGTTATAATATAATCGTTATACTTTTATAAAACAGAGGGTGACATGTTAATTTCTCTCCCTCCTTTCACATTTTGAATCAAACATATATATAATTAAAATTTCTCCCCTTCCTTCCTCTCACCTCCCCTCCCCTCCCCTTGATAAAAAATCTCTCCCCTCGCTTTGATTGAACCAAGCAGACCTTTAATATAATAGTATATGCTAACAAACCTAATTAGTAACATTGCTAAGGTCTTCCTGCCGAGAGAGCCAAATGCAATTGGTACAAGATGGGTGGTTTGACATCAAACTAGAGATTTATATAATAAAAGATCAAAGAAGTATAAGAGCTTTTTTTTCTTCTGTATAAATAAAACGATAATCACATAGAACACGTTATTATTTTTTTCTCATCTCTTATATTTGTTTTACTTGAAAGAGAGTGAATGATAAAAGGACACAATCATAATCCAATTATGCAAATGGATATGTGATACCAATGTATTTTTTAAATCTAAATATTTAACTCATTGACACTCACTTACGGCAAGCAATGACACCTATACTTCCCTTGGCCCCTCCCTATATAACAAATAGCATCAAGTTCCCAAAACTTCAACATGAAATAATAGCAACACCACAGTCCTCGTGAAAAGCCTTAAATTTAGCTTTGAACGGTGAGCCATCAATTAAATTCAACATCAACGGCTATGATTCCAAGTAAGCCCCACAAACATGTAAACTGGGGCCCAAGTTTCCACATTTCACATTGTCGGTGGACCTCATATGAACCTTGCCAACCCAAGACCCAAACAAACATGGTCCATGCATTTTTTTTTCATTTACTCCACTCCACATCACCAAACATATTCAACCAAAACAAAACAAACCAACGCTCCTTGCTCTCTCTCATCATTCCAACTTCACTTTGTTTTGTTACACTAAAATAGTAATAAAGCAAGAAACTCATGGAAGCTTTATGGGATTTTGTAGACAAATTGAAGATTTCAACTCTAGGTGCTATTCTTCTCCTTGCATGTACATGTTTTGCACTTGTTTGTCTCTGCATTATTATTGTACTAAAAAGGAAAGATAGTAATCATAACAACAAGATTGTGAACCAAGAGGGTGTTATAGAAGAGAATGAGACTTCTTCAACTATCACGACAACGACTACTACTAGTACTACCACTACGACAAATGCTACTACTACTACTACTTCTTCTATAAAATGCTTAGAACCAAATTGTGGATGGATTTCAGTGAAAAGGGTGTTGATGGAGTCAATGGTGTGGAGCAGGGCGAGAAAGCTGGAAGAGAATATTGGATGGCAGAGAGATAGAGGATCTCCATTGCTTGGAAGCTTAGAAAGGAATGTTGTTGAAAGTGGTTGGAAAAGTGTTAGTCATGATTCAGCATCAGCAGTGTGGCAAAGACCAATACTAAGAGGGGAGAAATGTGAGCTTCCAAGTTTTAGTGGCCTTATTCTCTATGATGAGAAAGGAAAATTGCTAAATGATTCTGTCAATGAGACACAATGCATGGAAATTTCTCGACAGGTAACTAATCAATTATCCCTTTCATGTACACAGTATATAGGATAACTCAATCCAATGTTGTAGATAAGATATATAAAATATGTATGCTCCTAGAAACACCATTGATTTGAGGATGCTTTAACAAAGATGAAAATTGAAAAGAATGATACAAGAGCTATTTGACTGCATAATTATCACTTGAAAATGATGATATTTAGGCAAGACAAATGTGAGAATCAGTGGTAGTCTTGTAGATCTATAACATCAAACTGCTGAAAATCATCTATTTAGAGACAGAGGTAGTAACTTATCACTCTGTAGAATGCAACATAATTGCTCCAAGATATTGAATCAAATCAACGTTGCAACTTGCAGCCTCTAGTTTCGGACAACATATTTGCTGCATCTGTTATTTCTAACCTCAATTTCTTTTTCTGTGCAGGAAGAAATAGATATTATTACAGTGAGAACTACCCTAAAAGATTTACTATAGTACTTGTGCTACTGGCTCTTTCTTTCGGCTCTAAGTTGTATTAAATAGACAATGAGGTTTTACTGCAATGAAATTTTCCTATCACTTTTTTTTGCAGACAATTATCATATTACTCTGATAACAAAATTATCATGTCACAGAAACTGCAGTTTTTTCCTTGCACTCAATCATGCATTTTCCATTATAATGATTTCCAAAGCAATAGCACATTTACAACCTTATTTCACTTTCTCTATTTTATTTTCAAAAGACTCAGTTTCTAAATAGAGCTTAGAGGCACACAATGAAGATAGTTCAATGTCGTGTGGAACAATGGAAACAGACTCAAAATGATGCTCAATTCAACTAACATGTTATCAGGTAGGAGAACGTTCATATTTTTTTTTTTGGGACAAATCAATAGTACTTCATTTCAGGAAAAAATACTTTGCTGGAATGTTTAAATCGTAACACTGTTTTTTAATAATGCTTCTTTTTCGCTCCAAATCGTTTTAACAGCATAATTCATGAACACATGTAACTGGCACCAGCTTTTTTCATCCATTCATTTCATGAAAGTTTCCATTCTGACATAGTTAAAATAAAATGCTGACAGAAGACAATGCAAGGAATGTAACTAACTACGAATTGAATCGTTTAACTTTTTTACCAAAACCATATATATTCAGCCATTCAACTCATGGAGAATACTTCACACATAATGAATATCTGAGACTAATTTCCAAAAATCAATTCACACTGACTGAGGAAGATAATGATTCATAATCACAAATTGTGTGTTTACCTTTTCCCTTTTCGTCATCACTCAGAAATACAAATTATCTATATGAAACAATCAAGGGTTCTCTTGAGTCATCGCAAGATGAACTCTTGAAATAGAAGTATAATACCAATTGTATCATTGCCAAACCGGTACCTATCCCGTTTGGTAGCTGAAAACTCAAACACAAAAACGTAGGTATTACAAATATAAGCCAATGGAACAAATAACTGAATTCTGAAACTATAATAAACATTTCAGTAGTAAACTAGCTGAAAGGAAGTGATTCTTACATAAATGAAGACGTCATCACTTAGTAATCCATAAAGAAAGAAGGACACGCTCATTAAGAAGGTTGAAAGCGAAAGATAAAACGGCATAAACTCAACACTCTTCGTGCGAATGACCAAATTCTGCGAATTTATATATATCAACAGTTTCACCAACCTTGAATCACCAACTATAAACTAGGAAAACTCTATTACGTAGATATATCAAACTTACAATGATAAACAACGGAGAGGCAAACATTGAAATTAGAGAAGCACAACTCAAGCATCCGACAAACATTCGGCGCATAGAACTATCACTTATTTTCAAGCTCCCAACTAGTATGACAACAAATATGCCAAAAACTGCCAGCAATAATCCAAACATTCTCACCTATCAAATATCAGTATTAGTAAAAACAAATTACAAATAAACCAATGTTTTACTGTGAGACAGACAATTCTCAAAGCCGCTTCAAGTAAAGTGGCCAAGCATGAGAAAGCGTGTTGTGACAATCAACATGCTTTCATATCATTTGCTTTGACACTTTTAGTTTTCTAACACCAGAAGCAATTGATCTTTTACTGAGAATGCAAAGACTCATGCATAGCATTACGATAAATTTCGACAATATCATTAAGAATAACCAACCTTTCTTGGTTTCTCAGCATAGATTAAGAATAAGAGAATATACACAAGCTGAAAAGCTGCTCCAATTGAATTAACAGTGGTAACCAAGAGATTATCAATTGATATAAGAGGAGTTCCATACCACAAGCAAATCAAGCAATTCAATAGAGAATAAATATATGGTAATCCTGAGAACAATTCCGTTGACCCATTTGTGATAATTCTCCTAAATGTAGGTCTATAATTCATAACAGAAAATCAAAGTTAATAACAATCAAAGATAGTGGTAACCAAAACAAAAAAAAAAAAACATTTAAGAAACTTACATTGGGGATACAAATAACCCAAATGCAAAGATGTTACCTACAAATAAACAAGAAGATAAAGATAAATCAAAAAGGGGTAAGTGTGATAAAATGAGTGAAAATGATGAAAGAGAGAAAAAGTACCAGCAATTCCAGCTGCATCTTTACCAAGTTCAAAACTGGGATAAGGATTAACCAGAGACATCAATTTCCAAACAATAGTTCCAAATTGAGGAGAAATAAGGGAAACCCTTAATTTGAGATATATGCATGCAATGTGTGGTTTTGTTTCTTATTTTTGGTGAAAGTTTTATCTGTATGATAAATCTGTGTCTTGTATCTCAACTCAACCTCTCGTAGTGTATGATTGACCTTGACGCTTACTATAACAAGTAATACAAGGAAAACGATTTTTAAGTAAAAAAAACCTTTTATTCGGCATATTCTGGTATTGAGTGGATTAAAGGTTAAAGTTATTTTATAAGTTTTTTTAAAAAAAATTTTTTTGTACAAGTGGAAAAAAAATATATCTAGAAAATAAAAATTCACTAACATCAATTAGCAAAAGAGTGATGATATTTATGAGCAGTTCAGCAAAAGATCGATGCGCGTAATATTATCAATCTCATATTTTACTAGATAATCAATGCAAATATTCTCTTTTTAAAAATATGACATATTTGAACTCGTCATTTTATAGAGAGAAATTCTTTAATTTTGAGAAGAATTGCGACATAATGATGTCAAACATTAATCTAATCGGAAATACTTAATAAAAGAATTGAAGTTAGAATATCAGAAAATATCTTTAATGTCAAGTTCTCTAAGTAAAAAAACCCTAAAATAGTTTTATAATATATTTAAAACCAATTTAAGTAAAATTTGTATATTTATAATTGGTAGCTACACTTTAAATGTGTAATTTTTTTTTTTATAAATTAAACAAATCACAAACATACTTATAAAACAAAATTAAATAATTTTAAAAAAAGTGATTCTAAATCCACAAACCATAATAATCAAGAGCACTTTGATGAAATGATAAGACATATCTTTTACTTTGATCAGAAGTTGTTGAAGATGTTATTGAAGTCATCCATTTTGAAGAGTAATTTTTTTTTATCATGCAATAATTCCTATGTTCAGCCCAAGACGTATTGAACATGCTGTGTTTTCAAAATTTATCATCAATTAAAATTTATCATGCAATAATTCCCATGTTCAGCCCAAGACGTCTTTTTGCATTCAAATATTTCGCTCCTTGTCTTTCTTTTTATTTTTCAAAACTTTTGGCAATGTGTTTTTTTTCTTCTTTTTTTTAAATCTAAAACTAAAATAAAAATAAAAATAATCATGCAAATATTATCCTCTATTAACCTTGGAATTTGTCGAAAACGATACTGTTATGACTCATTGTGACTTTGAAAATCTGATCTATCAAGCTGAAGAAGATTGTGAAATTTCCGATGAGTTAGCCAGATTGTTGAGGCAAGAGGAAAAGGTCATTCAGCCGCACCAAGAGACTATTGAAGTGATCAACTTGGGTATCAAAGAGGTCCGAAGAGAAGTCAAGATTGAGGCTGCTTTAGAAGACAGTGTCAAATGAAGATTGATTGAAATACTCTGTGAGTATGTGGACATCTATGCTTGGTCTTATGAAGACATGTCTGGACTGGATACAAACATTGTTGTGCACAAACTACCTCTTAGAGAAAAGTGTCCTCCGGTTAAACAAAAGCTTCGAAGAACTCATCCTGAGATGTCTAAGAAGATAAAAGAGGAGGTTCAGAAACAGTTTGATGCGGGTTTCTTGAAAGTAACTTCTTATCTGCCATGAATTACGAATATTGTGTCAGGGCCAAAGAAGGATGACAAAGTGAGAATGTGCGTGGATTATAGGTACTTAAATAGAGAAAACCCTAAAGATGATTTTCCGCTCTCTCTATTGATATTTTGGTTGACAATACTGCTCAAGCTAAAATGTTTTCTTTCATGGACGATTTTTTTGGCTACAATCAGATTAAGATGACACCGGAAGACATGGAGAAAACTACCTTCATTACACCTTGGGGAACATTTTGCTACAAAGTGATGCCCTTTGGTTTGAAGAATACAGGGGCAACGTATCAGCGTGCAATGGTCACTCTCTTTCATGATATGATGCATAAGGAGACTGTAGTCTACGTTGACGATATGATTGCCAAGTCCCATACAAAAGACAAACATCTTGTTCACTTGTTGAAACTATTTGAAAGGTTAAGGAAATTAAGGGTGAGGCTGAATCCGAATAAATGCACCTTCGAGGTGAGATCATGAAAGTTATTGGGCTTTATAGTAAGTGAAAAGGGATTGAGGTTGATCCTGCCAAAATAAAAGTAATACAAGAAATGCCTGAGCCAAGGACAAAAAAAGAGGTTCTTGGTTTTCTCGGGAGGTTAAAATATATTTCTAGATTTATCTCTCATCTTATAGCCACTTGTGAACCGATATTCAAGTTGTTGAAAAAAGATCAAACGACCAGGTGGAATGACAATTGCCAACCGACATTTGATAGAATAAAAGAGTATTTGCAGGAACCTCTAATTATCTCGCCTCCAGTGGAAGGAAGACCCTTGATAATATATCTTACAGTGTTGGAAAACTCCTTGGGCTGTGTACTTGGTCAACATGACGAGACTGGAAAGAGCACACCATCTACTACCTGAGCAAGAAGTTTACTGATTGTGAGTCGAGATACTTATTACTGGAAAAGACTTGTTGTACACTCGTGTGGGTAGCAAATCGTCACAGACAATACATACATGTTGATTCATACTACTCTCTTGATATCTAAGATGGATCCAATCAGGTACATTTTTGAAAATCCAGCTCTCACGGGAAGAGTAGCCCGTTTGTAGAGGATTTTAACAGAATATGATATCCAGTATACTACCTAGAAAGACATAAAAGATAGTGTATTGGCGGATTATCTTGCTCACCAGCCTGTGGAAGACGACCATCAACTGATGAAGTTTGAATTTTCTGACGAGGACATCATGTATATATGGGATTGTAACATCCCTGGCCCAGAAGAAGGACCTGAACCAGGATCACGATGGGAGATGGTGTTTGATGGTACCTCTAATGCCTTGGGTAATGGTGTCGGTGCTGTAATTACTTATCCCAAAGGTTTCCATACTTCTCTTACTGCTAGATTTGCTTTGATTGCAACGACAACATGGCCGACTATGAAGCTTGCATCTCTGGGTTAGAAGCCGCTATTGATTTGTGAATCAAGATCTTGGAAGTATATAGGGATTCTGCTATTGTGATTAGTCATATCAACGGATATTACGAGACTCTTCACCCAAATTTGATTATGTATTGTGAGCATGTTTTGAAGCTGATCCCGTACTTTGATGAGATTACTTTCAATCATATTCCAAGAGAAAAGAACAACTTGACATACGCCTTGGCTACTCTATCCTTCATGTTTAAAGTAAGATGGGCAAATGAAGCCCCCTTTATCAACATTTTTAGGTTGGATGAGCTAGCGTTACGTTATGAAATAAAAGAAGATGCTGTTGAGGAGAAATCATGGATTTATGACATCAGAAGATATTTTGAAACAAGAGAATATCCAGAGGATGATTCTATCACTGATAAGAATACGATACGAAAGTATGCAGCCAAATTCTTCCTCAATGGAGGTGTCTTATACAAGAGAAACTATGACCCTATTTTGCTCAGACACGTGGATAGACCCTAAGCAAACAAGATCATAGAAGAGATTCATGAAAGGTTCCTTCGGGACGTATTCCAGTGGGCATACCATGGCCAAGAAAATCTTGAGAGCAGGTTATTATTGGTCAACAATGGAAAACGATTATTACAATCACTCCAGAATCTATTACAAATGTTAGATTTATGCCGACAAAATGCATGTGCCACCCAAGCCACTGAATGTTTTAAGTTCTCCTTGGCCATTTGCAATGTGGGGCATCGATATGATTGTTCGTATTGAACCGACTACTTCCAATGGATATCTATTTATTCTGGTGGCTATTAACTACTTCACCAAGTGGGTCGAAGCAGCGTCTGATGCCAATGTCACCAAACAAGTGGTCACTCATTTCATCAAGCATAATATCATTTATCGTTATAGGGTTCTCAAAAAGATCATTATTGACAACAGGTTGAATCTCAATAACAAGATGATGAAAGAGCTGTGCGAGAGCTTCAAGATAAAGCATCACAATTCTTCTCCATATCGTCCAAATATGAATGGTGTTGTTGAGGCAACAAACAATAATATTAAGAAGATTGCGTAGAAGATGGTTGTCACATACAAGGATTGGCATGAGATGTTTCCATTCACTTTGCATGGTTATCGCACTTTGATGCGCACTTTGACTGGGGCAACCCCATTTTCTATGGTATATAGCTTAGAAGCAGTACTGCCCGTGGAAGTTGAGATTCATTCTTTAAGAATAATGACAGATGTAGAGTTAGATGAAGCCAGATGGATTCATAATAGACTTGATCAATTGAATCTCATTGACGAGAAAAGATTGATAACTATTTGTCATAGGCAGATATACCCGAAGAGGATGAAGAAAGCTTTTGAATAAAAGGTGCGTTCTTGAAATTTCCAAGCTGGTAACCTCGTGCTGAAGAGGATCTTGCCTCCCAATAATACAAATGCTAGGGGAAAATGGGCTCCTAATTATGAAGGATAATATATTGTGAAAAAATTATTCTTAAGAGGATCTATGATGCTCACTACTATGGATGGAGAAGACTTCCCTCACCCCATCAATGCAGACGTAGTTAAAAAACACTTCGCATAAACAGACCCACTGAGTTGACTGGCTCAGGCAAAAAAGGGCATCCCGACGAACAAAAAAAAAGAATAAAGGTTCGCGCAAAAATTAGGGATATACGAATAAAAGAATGAAAAAGAAAATGATGTACACCCGCTAAGTTGAAAACCTGAAAAGGAGACTTAGGAAAAACTGGGTATCCCGGTGAATTAAAAACCCAAAAGGACGGTCCAGGAAAAAGTTAGGGATTTAAAGCAAATGACTACGGTCTGTATTGCATCTGTAATATCATTCTACATTGCTGTTGGTTAGCTTGGAAGGATAAGCAATCGGTCGACTACTGTTGGTTATTCTGGAAGGATAAGTGTGATCGGTGGATCTGGAACTGACTGTTTAACGCTGG